GGGGTTCATTTCTAATTCCTTCGGCTTGGTCATAACTGAATTTTATTTTATTTTTTTCACTGTTTCTTTTATTTAAGCTCTTTACTTCTAAAATGTATTAGGTCCCACAAATGGCAGAAAAGTACTTGGACAATGAGATTATTCAATTATTTGTGGTGATCAAGTCCTCAGCACGCTACTAGCACATCTTTGATCCCCCCCCTCCTCCCCTCCCGTATTGTGACATGGCATTGACCCAGACGAACTGACCTCACGGGTCGGATCAGCCCCGAGGACAGTAGATTGGTGACCCTCAGATATAATTTAAGCAAAGAGACTGAGTCTATGGAGAAAGAGCAAAAGCAAGAATAATAAGGTATTCATAACAAACGATTTTTAACGCCCTCATCCACACTATTTTGATCATTTAGGAGGCAGGCTTCTTCGATTCAGCCTTTCAGGGCCAACCCAAGCTGAGAGGGATACAATGTCCCAGCTGAAAGACGGAGGTGTTCCATAAAAAATTGCATCCTCAGAGAAGTTGCGTCTCCTTCGTGCGATGGCAAATCACCAAACCGCAACACAGACGTCGGTGAGTTTAATGGGGTTATGAAGTATCATACAACCTCTATAAACGACTCAGTGAACCGACAGACTGAATTCTCATACTGTCACAATGATGTAAATCAACCCCAAGCCTTCCTGGACTAATAAACATCTTAATGAAAAAAAAATGGGTTCTTTCATTGATATACTGAGTAGCGCGCAAACGGACGAAGCTCATACCTATCAATGTTTGTGGTGATGTCGACTTGCATTCATTATTGCAGTGTGTGATATTTTATCGACACTTTAAAGTGTGAAGTTACTATTCGTCGTATTCGAATACCATGTGCAAATTGTCTTTTCTGTTCTTATTCATAAGTCCATCAACAAATAAGTTCATTGCGCCTGTCTACTGTTAATTTCTTGCAACGACCATCCATTGCACTTTGATATTCGAGAGTCAAGGACACACGGGTTATTTTTGGTGTGAGAAGTGAATATCAAAATAACTCGGCTTTTCACCCTGTCTTATAACTATAAAGTACAAAATATTGCTGCTGTTACTTCAGTGTCCTTGGATATAATATGCTCCGATTTTACGACGGGTTGAAAAACACGAGACACAAATCATTTATCCGTCAAAACCACGCTGCCTTCCATTGGCTCTGCCAGGCTTCCTGTAGTTGTGAATAGCACACCAAAAAAAAACGTGAACGTTGAATAGTAGAGTTGCATGGGCACAGCTCTTGTATTCAAAACACTCCCAGGCACAAAGCAAAGTCTCATAATGAGATATAGTTGGTAAGTGACGTCAACACGTAGCAGATGTATCTAGTTACGACTTGTATCTAGCGACAATGTCAAGATGTTGCACGTTTTGTACCCCAAACGTTAAATACGATGGAGATACACAAACAGTTGTTTTGAAAACGAAACCTCTTCTTTCAAATATGTTGGGGCATAAAATTCGATATTGAAATAAGTGCGAATGTGATTCCTTGCACTTTGGTTGTTTTGACATCTCTTCAAAGGAGCACAGATTATTAAATGGTGGGCGAAACTCTCGTAAAATGAAATGTCGAGCTACTTGATTGGTTTTTATGAATGGAAGGCAACAGATTGCAGGAGACAGCTAACACAGATTCACTATTTTTGTTTCAAATGGTGAAAATAAACAACCCAGATTCACTGATGCAATATTGCTTATCAAAGTAATATTAAAGAGGATGTTGGTGGTATAAGCAATCGTACTTACAAATTTGGTGTGGATTCGAACCTTTAAACAGGCTACGTGATTACGAACAGAAAACGGACTGAACTAATGTGTTTTTGCTATGACGTTCATCAGACTGAATTATACACTTTAAAAGGTTTGAAAGAAAAAGAAAAGCAAACGAAATTGTATAATTCAGGAACATGTCACATATCTATCAGTATGTATCCCCAATGTGACCTTTTATGCTTGACATTGTCATCCAAAAAGCTCGTGCTCAAGCTCAAAACATGGAACTGTTCTAGCAAAATTTGGACCATGTTCATGGAATGTTCTGCTTTTCTGTGGCCCCAATAAATTTTCAACAAAGACACAGACGATCCCCAAGCTCTTATCTCTAATTATCATGTCACTCGTAGAGTCTGTGATTAGTTTTATGATTTGGGGGCATCGAAAACACGACCCGCTATTTACTCGTAACTGAGATTGTGAAAAGCTGCACGCACACACACACTCACACACACACACACACACACACACACACACACACACACACACACACACACACACACACACACACACACACACACACACACACACACACACACATACACATACATACACATATATATACATATATATATATATATATATATATATATATATATATACATACATACATACATATATAGATAGAAGCAGACTATAGATAGATAGATATATAGATAGATAGATATATAGATAGATAGATAGATAGATAGATAGATAGATAGATAGATATATAGATAGATAGATAGATAGATAGATAGATAGATATAAATATATATATATATATATTATGCATATTTGAAACAGCCCCCTTTAAAGTTCAGGGGTTTCACGAATTGTTTCATCAAGCCTAGTTTGATTTAAAGGCAGAGAGGGGGAAAGAGGATTTTCCCTCAACATAATTAGTGGTTCATTCATGACAATCTTCTCTCCAACGGTTTTGAGCTATTCTCACAGGTCACATCTTTTGTCCAAAGTGTTTTCCTTTGGCTATTTCAGACAAAAAGGTCATCGATACCCTGTTTAGTCATTAATTTTACGAGCATCTGATTTCATCACCATGCCTCACATTTTGTCGCTTTCTGAACGTCCCATTAAGTTGCCCTGAGAGGCGGGGCACAACTCTGACTCCCAACTCCTCCCAAGGAGGGATCAAACTTTGAAGCTAGTCTTAAATGTGCCATCGGTGTCCCTTGCAATTATCTAACAAATGTCGAAGTGTTACACGGAGACAGATTCTAAATATTGTATCTATCCACTTACCTTTCCACTATTTCTTCTCCTGGCATACAAGTAGCCATGCCATAAAGGGGGCACCCAGGGGTAGTCCAAGGAGGGGGTGTCGAGGACGGAAAGGTGTCAACGTAGACACAATCGTATCGGGGACACGGGTCATCAAATCTGAAGAAGAGTTGAACACACAAGGGATCAGTTTCAAGTAAGACCTATCAATGTTTTGGCTACTTTTAATGGTTGTTTTATATCACTTCCAACATACATAGGTTATATGAGTGCAGGATCCTTATGTTTAACAAACAAATGAATTCACGGGGTTGTGATTTCGACGGAGTGTTGACACGTAATAAATTTTAAGTTAAAGCGAGATATTCCTATTCTCATAATTCAACCAATATTTGGAAGAGGCCTTTTCTTGGCGAGTTTGGCATTTTTATATATCAGTAGCTGTCTGTCCATCTTTCCGATGAACCATCGAAATATGCAGAAGATACGCTAATGCATAGGAGTTATGCCCCTTGCAACACTGTACGTTTATTTAAGAGGCGGTATACACAATAATCTCTGAATTAACGTCCTCCTCGAATAGGATCGAGCTGAAGGAGAATATTATTCAAGTAAACTGCCTTTCCAAAAGACAGAACATCAAACTGAGCTGGGCCCCGACCTCATAAATCCACAACCTCAGGATTACGAGTCAGGTAGCTTAACACTAGCCACCAGACTTACGACGCCACTCACGGATCATCAGCTTGTACGTCAGAGAACGAAGACACCACATACCCAACTTGTCTTTAAACAGCTGCATGTAATGCATGATACTGCCGTTTATAGTTATAATTAATATTGAACAGTTTTGTGTGCTTGTTTTTAAAAAAATATATTATGTACTCTGCTCAGATTTAGTAGTCTTTATACAGCACGTGCTACATAAATAGATTTAAAACATGCAGAAGGTTTAACGTGTTACAAACACACACACACACACACACACACTCTCTCTCTCTCTCTCTCTCTCTCTCTCTCTCTCTCTCTCTCTCTCTCTCTCTCTCTCTCTCCTCTCTCTCTCTCTCTCTCTATCTCTCTCTCTCTCTATCTCTCTCTCTCACACACACACATACACACACACACACACACACACACACACACACACACACACACACACACACACACACACACAAGAAGAAGAAAGGAGGAAAGATAAGGACGATAGACGCTGAACGGTGAAAAAAGAGTAAATCACCACAGAATGTCTGCCTACTACATACGTTTGTATACCAAATTCTCCAACTTCTCAGAAGTGACGAAACAGTTCAAAACATCTATAAAACTTATTTAGAACGTGTCCGTGTAATAGTTACATACTACTGATTCAAAGGAAATCATTGTTTGAACTTTTGGGGCTTACATATCATTAGGCATAAGGAAGGCCCCAGGAGGGCATGTAGGCATCGGTGGACAAGGCGGGGTGGTGGGAGGGCTAGTGGGCGTGGGCGTGGTCGTAGACGGGGGTGGTGGAGTCGTTGTTGGCATTGGCGGGACTGTGATAAGATAAGATTTATAAGATAAGATATGATTTATCTTTACTGTCCAGGAAATGTCATATTGGTTTGGCGTTTCACCAAACTTATAAAACACACGAAACACATACACATTCACACATAAACACACACACATAATTAATACACACTTTGGCACGCGCACACACAGACACACTCAAACACACTCACTCACACACACACACACACACACACACACACACACACACACATACACACACACACACACACACACACACACACTCACACACACACACACACACACGTAAGACCCCCCATACACAAGCATGAAAACACACTTACCTACTCTCTCGTGCATCCTCTCTCTTCCACCCTCATGCAACGTAATAATCGCTTACTTTCACAAGCACACCACCAGTCACAAACGCACATGAATATGAAGAATTGAATAGACGAAAGCCATTTTACAGAAATAATAAACTATAGTGGGTTTGTACCTTCTTCGATTAATCAAAAATTCATAAAAGAACACATGCGCTCGCACGCGCGCGCACACACACACATACACACACACACACACACACACACACACACACACACAACCAAACACACAAACGCACACATAAGTACACACACACACACACACACACACACACACACACACATACACATAAAAAAACACTCACACGTACTCGCACATTCACATACATAATCACACGCAAATAAACACACAAGTGAATCAAATAAAACTTAAAATTATACACTATCACACAACAGTGAAAGCAAGGAGTATACAAAATGGTTATGAATTATTTTGAAGAACAAACAAGCAGTACAAAAACACTGTCCCGTTTTACTACCTGTAGTCGCCGCCTGAAACAGATAAAAGAAAAAAATAGTGTTGTAATATCAGTCAAACAATTGTTTATCGATTATCGCATTTAAAAGAACTCTATTCTCTAACGCAAATCTTGGTACAGCATTTATCACTCAAGAAAGGTAATCACATAAGTGTAGATAGCTCGTCATAAAGCTACACCAGAGGATTTGCTTGTACATGTTGTAAAAGAAATTACATCCGAAAACACAATTATTATGCATCGAGCCAATTCTATTATTCAGTTGCGAAGCATTGACAATCAAAAGACAGCTGGAAAGAACAATAGAGGCGGCGACAGAGCTGTTGTGGTTCATAAAACGCATCCTACGTATCCCATGGACAGCAGCTAGGAAAACGAATAAACTGCAGAAGTAAATTGTAAAAATCGTTCTTGGTTTGTGCCTTTGTTCCGCAAAGTAGACCATCCTCACCAAACAGTCTGAACGAATATTATTGTAATAAATGTTTGCAAGAACGTTCCGTCTCAAAATTCTTGGCGGTGCTTTGAGAAGAGCACACATTATGTCATTCAAGACTTGAGTATGTCGCGATAACAGCTTGTTGACTTTCGTCTGTCTGCTTTAAAAATTCTAGCTCGTTTATTAGTTTACTTGTGCCCTCGACACTTTTCAAGGAGCTTCTGCAGGCCGGCGACCAAACATTTTTGAGGGGGGGGGGGGTAATCTTGATCCAGTTATATAAAAAGTGCTTCTATTTTGGGCTCAATGTTAAACATCGTTCTTTGGGTGCATACACAGAATCATCAAAACAGATTATTTACAATAACCTCATTTCGAGACAGTGCCACCACTGTGCCCCCACATTTCAGAGTAAGCTTGTCGATTTCATCCCACAAATTCTAGACGTCTCCAAGTGAATCTCGAAAAGTACTCACCGTGGCCGATGAACCGTGTATCCTAGGCGTACGCAAAAATGTGTTGTTGAGGAAACTAATTACAATTTTTAATGTTTTAGGTGTATCCAGTACATCCCCTATTATTTTTTTCACCAGTATAAGGCTAACATTAAACGAAATGTGTCGGAACCTTAGTTTGCGGTTACCTTTAGAGATGGGTTTTAAATTCTGTTGGGCATCCAACCTTTAAACCCGTATGCAAAGAACTGAAAAGATTAAACAGAGCTGTTCCATGGTATCTTGTTTTAACCACGGTCAGACAAAATTGAACAAGTTATACTGTACTCACCCGCCTCACGACTCCTCCATGCACAGTGTACGTTAATACCAACAGTGCAAAGATTGCACGCGAAAAGTCCAGCATGGTTCTGCCTCTCTTGTCTGTCGGATAAAAATAGACTGATATCAGTGAACTGTCTGCAAACGCACTGTAAACCATATGGCATTGCTTAACTTTGAGTTTTGGTTTGGTTTGGTTTTTGTGGGAGGTTGAGGTTTTTTGTTGTTGTTGTTGTTTTTGTTGTTGTTTTTTGTGTTGTTGTTTTTTTTTTGGGGGGGGGGTAGTCTTGTCTTCGTTTCATGATACTCTGTAGCTAAGTGCATAAGCATATGTGAGGCAGCGTGGTGGAATCAGGCTCTCGTCAAAGTAATCAAAGAGAAGAAACTTGCATTTTTCTGCAGGTTTGATAACTTTTATCAAATTTATGTTTTTTGGCTCAACACCTTTCATGTCCATTAAAGAATTCATTTCTGTGAGGATTTTTTTTTTTTGAAAAGCTTGGATTAAAGGTACAAAAATGTAAATTTTCAGTTACAACAGACTCTTAAGCTAAGGAAATAACTTATCTTTGGCTGCCATTTTTTCCACTAATTTTACCTCTGAGAATAGATAACCCCCACCTCCTTCTTTTGCATATATCTCAACTTATATTCAAGTTAAAAGGAATTTTTTTTTCATCCAAATAAAAACAAATGAACAAGCTTTAAGATGATATCAATAACTCCACATGCCCAAAAATTGACGATAGCCTGATTCCACCACGCTGCCTCACATATAACACTGATTATATAAGGACCTCAACAGATGTGAAGGATGTCTCCAATTGGAAAGACATTGTTTTCAGCGCAACCAAACAATTTATGTCTTTCAAAACAAGCCCTCCTTCCCCCTCCATGTACCCCCTCCAAGAAAAGGAAAGAAAGACAAAACACATCCACACACACACACTCACACACATACAAACAAACACACACACACACACACACACACACACACACACACACACATACACACAGACACACATACAAACACACACACACACACACACACACACACACACACACACACACACACACACACACACACACACACACACACACACACACACACACTCACGCACACTCGCACGCGCGCAAACAAACAAAATAGTACGTCAAAATGTTTTTGTCGTTTCATCAAATCTTAACTCAGTGACAACTTGCAGGTTTCAGTCTCCATCAAAATGCACACCGGGGAGACCTATTTGACCAGCGTTGTTTTCCACTGTGTCTCTAGAGGGTTCTAAAATAATTTAAACTATTTTAAAATCTTTAACACGAAAACTGTGATTGGAAAGAAATTACATTTTATACATTTTTACTACCCCTAACTTTATGGATTTCACCAGTGGACGAGATAATTGTATATCGACAAACATCCTACTACGAAAAAATAACGAAATGGTACATAATATCTATAAGCCAAAGCAGTGGAAACAGCTAAACGGTTTTACCTTCTTCCAAGATACGGATTAACTAATAAATGAGGACGTGAAGCAAGTTCTGTTTGACATATATATACAAGATGGAGTCGGTGACACATGTTACAAGTACGATTTATGATTGCCCACCTTGGGACTTGATGAAAAACCCAGAGGGAAAGATAAAAGATAGCTGCTGAATACAAAATTAGAAATATTTCGGGTGAGAACTGGAGACGATATATTTTTGTAAGGGGTGAGTGATAGGGGTTGTTTTTATATTTTCTGCTGCTTAGCAATCAGAACGTCTACGCATAGATATATGTTAATAATCTTCTCATTAGTTCGTGTTTACCAACTCTCTACAAAAGGGCTTTGCTAAAGCCAAACATTCACAAAATGAGAATTCGTGATGGAGCAAGCAAGGTACCTTTTCTTTTCAGTTACATTGTCAATACAGCTTAAGCCGATACCCATATTGCCCATAAGTGAAGCGAATAAATATATAGGTAATGAAAATCGTGTAAAGAATAGCATGTTGCTATTTGGAAAAACAAGTTGTTTATGATGACCACATTTGAGTAAAAAATATGCCCTCCCCCCCCCTTTCCCATTCTCCCCCTCCTCCTCCTCTTTGAACATTTTTTTCTTAACACGAAGCAGTCGGATGGCATGAAACATTGTTCATAAGACATGTCAACAAAAGCGAATGTGCAAATCAAAGCCCAGAAAGCCTAGATTAACTTATGTTTGCAGACGACCAATGTTTTATTCATCCTAACCCACAAGGCCTCCAAATGCACACGACTGAACTGAACAACAGCTGCGAGAAATTTAACATGAAAATAAGCACATCAAAAACGGAAGTGACGAATGTTAGCCGAAACTATAGCAATGATAATACATAACAAGATGGGCCACTCAGCCAAAAAAGTGTCCGCAGGAAGTATGCTCTTTGCTTCAGATGGCGCTGCAGTCTGTTTTGAAGCTCTCTTTCGTTTTTCCAGAAGAAGAATAGGAATAGCACCTCCTTGCGTGCGCAGATCGACTGCTGTTCATCAGCAGTTCGGGTACGTTCAGTGCGGAGTTTTAGTTTTTTTATATTTTAATGACCTCTCGCCTTTCATTCTAAAGTCAAATTAAACAAAGAAAACCATCACCCTTTCCTCCGGAAGAGGTTTTTTGTCAGCGTAACCATTTTAAAAAAGCGTTCTTCCGAAATTTATCCCAAAACTTGCTAGTTTCACTTTGATTTTTTAAAACTCAAGTAGGGTAACTCTGTTCGCAAAGAGTGCGCTTTTGTGAAGAGGGCGCCACCAAATTTGGAGGACACTTTTTTAATTGGCTCAAAGAGAGAAGTGGCCCATCTTGTTATGTACTATCATTGACTATAGTACATGTACCCTGAACATCCGTGTCAATGGTACACAACTGGAACAGGCGAAGGAGTTTGAATAATATCTTGGTAGCACATTTTTTTTTAAATGGGTCCACAGACAGAGAAATAGAAATGCTTTGCTTGCAGCTTTTAATTGACACTAGTTAGGTCCTGAGTACGTTCAAACTTTCGTTACTTAAAATTAAAGAAAGAAGTGGAGTGGAAGCTGGAAAATGTTCTTTAAAAAACTCTTAACACTACAGTCTGGGAATTTTCACAGCAACTCAAAATATTCTTACAGACATTGTATACAGGATCCCAGACTTCACCGCCACTTCTGGAAGACACTGCAATGTCAGCATCTGGTATGCTTTGGCGCTCTAAATTGACAGCGCTAGTTAAGTAAGGTCCGGAATACTTTCAAACTTTCGTCCATCAAGCTTATCTACTTTCGAAAGAAAATAAACAAAAGTGATATGGAGCTAAGTCAATAATAAAGTTCTCTCTCTCTCTCTATCTCTCTCTCTCTCTCTCTCTCTCTCTCTCTCTCTCTCTCTCTCTCTCTCTCTTTCATATATATATATATATATATATATATTGAGTGACCAGCCCTGGTCAAGAGAGGCAGATCTTGGTGTCGCATCTGCGTAATGGTTTCGTTCCTCAAATGCTACAGCTCAAGGCATGCAATGAGTGCGTGAAAGTGTTTCTTTAATCAGTGTGAGGTGCCAAGTAGTAAATTCAGGACCTTTTTTTATAGATCAAGAACGCCTTACTTAGAACTGCAATCAACGAAGCCGTGACACAGCGCCGTCTTCACTGCGCGAAAAAGCAGGAAAAAAATCAGAATCTCTCAGTCTTCCAACACGACTCTCCTCCTCTCACACTGCCCATGTTACAAAGAGCAGAGTTTCTGGAAGGTCATTTACATGAATTTCATGGACTGGCAAGCGTTGGTACCCGACATGTCTCCAACAGTGCACGTATGGGATTAACTGAACTGCAAAGTGTGTGCCGTTTTGCGAATCTGCAGCTATTGGGAGATCGCGCTGCCACGATAGTGGGACAGAATTTCTCAACAAAACATGTGAAAATGTTATAAAATCCATATGCAAAATTGTTTTGGCATGTATAAATGTCAATGATAGCCATACAGTTTATTAAGTGTGAAAGATCTTTATTAATGAGTTTTGATGTGTGTTTACCTTCAAATTTGTCTAAAGGGGGTACTCCGAAAGAAGAAGGACAATGTATCGAAATGAGTTGAAGTGTGTGATCAAAATGGTTCGCATAAATTTTTGAAAAATGAATTAACTTTAAAAACCACTTCTTTAATCTATCTTCTTTTGATACAAACATGTACAGACTCTGCGAACAATGTGTTGCGTATTTAATGGCGTTCAGTATACAGTCGAACCTGTTTAAGACAGCTACCCATTGTCAAAGATAAAAGTGGCCGTTTTAGGCAGGATTGATCAAAATGAAAAATATTATTATTATAATTATATTATTATTATTATTATTATTATTATTATTATTATTATTATTATTATTATTATTATTATTATTATTATTACTATTATTATTATTATTATTACTTGATTATCTTTGCAATTTAAAAAAAAATGTCGAATTTTAACAATGTTTAACATGATCGGCCCGTCTACTTTCAGGACGAGGAAGGTGAAACGAGAAACCACAACCGTCTCATCAGATGGATATCATAGTGCTGACAAGGTTTTAGAGTAGTTTGGAGAAGTGAAAAGGCCAAGCTATTGGGGGACCTTGGATCTAATAGGATGGGGTCACACACAGCACAATGACATTAAGAGTGGTCCATGCATGGTTGATAGAAAGGTTTGGAGGGTGCCCTTTACGTTGAAAGCTTACAAAGGACTGGTCAATGGTTTCGCCGACTCAAATAATATTATTTCCTTGGGGGGGGGGGGTCTTCAGAAACAACGTGAAAGCAATCGATAAATTGAAACCGGATATTGAACAAGTGGCCCAAAATATCGATCCAGAAACATGCCGTACGGTTATTCGAAATTTGCAACTTGCCTATTTGAGATTGTCTGGAGAAAAATTGTCAACAACTTTACCAGAGCATATAATTTAAATAGTCAGCACCTTTGCAGGGGGTTGTTTTTGTTTTTTTTTGGTAAATCAGTTTCATAAGAATTTCTTCTTTTGTTCTTCGATGAAAAAACATACATTAAAATTATAGTTTATGTCTGAGGAGTTGCAAAGTTTTGCATTGCAATTTCGAAATATTATAAACTTGATATTCCTCGAACAGATGGATTGATTTTCTTCTTCATATACTCAACAACAAAACTACGCCTGTCATATAGCTACTTAAAGACTCAG